TAAATAACTCTATTTTAACATTCAAGTTTCACAAGCATTTACTCCCCCATCCCCCACTTTCTGGAAATTTAAGAAAAGGTTACTGTCACGTTACTGAATTTGAGGGAAGCAGCCAGATCACTGCTGCACCCATAGGTGGGGGTGTTGGCCCCAAAAATGGTATAAAAGGGGGCCATGTGGGGTGTTGAACAGAAGCTCACTGTCTGCTAATCCTAGGTACGCTGTTCATGTGTTTGTATAATGTCTGTGTGTGCAATTTGAAGCATGTATTTGTATGGATACTGAATATTTCCCTGCATGTGGTTGAGCATTGGGCAGGGCCCGGCCTATGGACATGCTAATCAGCGAGGCCCTGTGGGACAATGGCACTCAATGGGCCAAGGACACACCTAAAGAACGAGTGGTGACTCATACCTAAGGGCTACCAGCAGGGAACACAGAAATAAGCCGTGGACCAGGTGACCTGCAATAGCCAAGAAGAGACCAGGAAGGAGGGACAAATAGGCCATGTGGTGGTCTCCATCTTGTTCTCAGCTCAGCACTTCATCCCAGAGGCAGCATTGCAGGGATTGAAGAGCCCAAAAGACCTGTGAACCCATCCTTATCCTAGGATGCGCAACAAGGACTTTTAAACCAGCAGCTGTAACATCTCTGCTAGAGCCTGCATCGAGGACTGGGAGATTCGGTGCATGTAACGTACTATTCCTTTAACAACCTTACTCTCGTGCTTTTCTTTATTGTAATAATAAACCTTTAGATGTTAGATGCTAAAGGATTGGCCCAGTGTGATTTTTGGGTAAGGTCCAGAGGGTAAATTGACCAGGGATCTGTGGCTGGTTTCTTGGAACCGGACAGAACTTGTTCAGGGTAGGTGGGATTGGGTGTTAGGACCCCCCACCTGTGTATGAGGCCCGGGGCCATCTGGGGCACGGATATTGCTGGGGTGTTGGAGGGGTTTTGCTCATGAGGCTTCAGGCAGGCAGCTGAAGCGCTCTGTGGGACTGGTTTGTGGCCTGTTTGGAGAGGTCACCAGTCTGGGGGCTGTAATGAGCCCTGGATTTGAGCAATTCACCCTGAGCAGACACCCTCAGCTGTGCCCAGACACGGCCCGGTCCATCAGTTACTAATGGTGGTCTTAGAATACAGACAAGTTATTGCTAACAAGTCACACAATGTTAATGTGATCTATGCCATCAAATGTCAGCAATGCCCCTCTGCCAAACTGGACAGTCTCTGTGGGAAAGAATTAATGAACACAAAGAAACCTGTTGGAGAACACTTTAACCTTCCCCGGGCACTTATTAATGGATCTCAAAATCACTGGGTTGTTTCAGGCCAATTCTACAAGCCAAATACACAGGGAAGAGTTGGAACTTAACTTCATTTACAAGTTTGATTCCTATCAGAGAGGAATGAATTGGCAGCACACTAACTTCCACATCTTAATGACTTAACAACCAAACAATGGGTACTTAAAGAGGTGAAAATTGTTATCAACTTTTTGTAACTTGAACAATCTAATTCACTATTTTTTAAAAAAAATTTCCCTCTTCCTTCCCCTCCTTCACTTCCCTTACTTATTCTTGGATCTAGACTTTTAATACTCCAGTCATCTGAAGAAGTGTGTTGTGCCCATGAAAGCTCATGATACCATCTACATGTTTTATTAGTCTTTAAGGTGCTCCTAGACCAGTGTTTCTTACATTTTTTTAACACCAAGGAACACCAAACAATAATTTTTTATGGGGAACACCAGGGATTTTTTGTTGAGCAAAAAGGTCGGGTGGGGGGGGAGGTTATTGAACAAAAAAGTCGCCTGCCCCTTTAAGGGCAGCCATTTTGAATTCTGTGCTGCTCTCCACAGCACACCTCCTACAGCCTAAAGAAACAATGCCCTAGACTATTCCTGGTTTAAGTTTTTCCATGTATAGACTAACTGAGCTAGGTTTTCATTGATATTTTATCTCTTGGGCCTGAGCCACACCCCTTTATCAATCCAACCCCTGCTCTGCCCTCCAACAATACTTGGGGAACCAGATGAATCAGGGATTGGGAATAAGGGACAGACTTTCATTTCTAAACTAACCATTTGGGCAGCCTGAGCCAATCTCAGCTTTCTATTGGCTAGAAGTAACTGCCAACCGATGCCTGTTTGGCTCCTTACGCGAAATGACTTTGCAGGGGCAAGCATGTCATTGTTTTGTGTGTTTTGTATTTTTGCCAACATTATAAAAAAGACACATACCTGTTTGTAACTGGTATTCTTTGAGGGGCGCAGCTCGTGTCTTTTCCATATCAGGTGTGTGTGCTCGCCACAAGCACCAGTGCTGGAAGTTTTTACCACAGCAGTATCTGTAGGGGAAGGGCTCTGGCACCTTCTGGAGAGATGTGCATATGCCGTGGTATAGGAGGCGCTGCTGGTCCCCCCCACCCTCAATTCCTTCTTGCCATAAACTGCAAGAGTGAGGAAAGAGGGCAGGGTGGGATGTAGACCATCCTTGGCCTAGGGCACTGAGTGCTGGATCTCCACAGCCAGGTTGTTGCATGGTTATGGCAGAGGCCATGGAGCACACCATGGCGCCCATCCCCTCAGAAGCTGCCTGGAGGGCGGCTCTAGCAGACACCATGCCCTCCTCAAAGCTCGCTCTGAATTCCTTCCAGGCACCTTCAGGGGCGATCCCTCACATCTGGCCATGGTCCGCCCCATTTTTAAATCAGAGCAGCCACGAGGGGCTCAGTGGCTGGCACCCACAGGTGCAGGCTAGGGGATGAACAGAGCTTATGTCCGAACAAACCCGGCCTGTTGGCTTTGGGTCGCCGTGGCGGCACCGTCTGGCCCTCTGGGTTGATGCCTCCGAGGGAGGAGGGGCCACGCGAGAGAACAAGCGCCACGGCAAAGAGCCCACAGGCGGCGCCTGCACCGGGCCCGGGGAGCCTGGCGGGGCACCAGGGGGCTCCAAACACCGGGCTCCTCTGCCCCTCGCTTGGCGTTCGCCCGGCCCAGGGCAGCGCGCGCCGCGAGAGGAGCGGCCCCGCGGACACAGCGGGACCCTGGAGCCAGCCCCCACTCCCCGGGGCCGCAGCCAGGCCGCCTCAGGGAGGCGCCCCCGGGCCGGGG